GAAGAAATTAGAACCCAATATGTATGTCCAATAAAAAAGTTACGAGGGTAAGGTGGGTCGCGTACTCAAACCTTGGGAGAAGACACTGAAGGCAACTTTAATATCATCGCTAATATCACCGCCCGACCAACGGCGAACGCGTGCATGTTGTGGGTGTGCCCAAACCTCGGGCGAGGTCACTGAAAGGCATTTTTCAGCGGTATCACTAACACCAACTAGGAAAAGCTTAGAAAAGTACAAAAGGCAGGGAGATTAGGCAAATCACCCTACTTAAAACCTTCAAGTAAGCGTTAATTCCCGTGGGTAGTTCAAAAGGCCAAATTTGCTTAGTTTGCAGATTTTAGCATTTATGGAATGTGTTTGCCTTCGGAAAACCGTCCTGCATTCCAATGACATCAAAAAATCTCTCCTAGGCCGAAGGATGGCGCGTAGAAAACCAGATGTTTACAGGTAATTCAACCTACTTAAAAATTTAAGTAAGTAGCTATAATACATAAGGACTCTAAAACGACCGCTAGAGACAACCTCACCATAAATTGCATATTTAAGGTCCAAGGAGCCCTTTCATTAGAAACTCGATGCTTTTAAAAATTTAATACAATGTTGGTTATCACAGTTGCGCGTAAGCAACTGTATGAATAGTATGTCATGCATATTAAGTCATATTAGATTTACAACGGACACTTTTTAAAAAATAGTCAACATTATTAGACAAATAGGGTGAACTTAGAAAGAGGCACCGAAAAAACTCCTAAAATGGAAATCAGTGGCCGAGTTTAGCGAGCCCCTGATTTCCAAAAAATATAGGAGAAAAGCCTGCTTAATTAGGTATTTAGATTGATATGGTATGATATGATGCAATGAGATAGGACCCTTATGTTTTGAGTTCAGAACGCTCTTTGTTGTGGGGAAAAATATAGCATCAAGGGGTGAGACAAGAGAAACTCATTGAGGGCAATGGGTTCGAAACGAGGAGGGGAGCGTAGAAGTCACGAGAACATCCCCGATATGCCGGAGATGTGACCAAGCAGTCTGCAGAGTCGACCGACACGTTGGCGAAAACGGAAGAACTCTGGCTCCCTTAAGCTCTTTTGTTCCAGACGAAAGAAGTATTTTCGGAACCATGAAAGGAAGCATTCCGACGTCTTCTTATGCATTTCATATGGGGAAGTCAAAACACATCGGAAACATTTTTTGACATTTATTCTCCTAGATTGCATTTGAAAGTTCCGTTTAAGTATTCTGACTTGTATAGTTATCTTAACTATCTTCCTTGACAGTACATACTAAAATATGATTTTTTTGCAATTTTTCAAGAATTTTGGTAAGGAAAACCACTTCAAGTTAGCATATTTCCATATAGGATCAACTACTGAAATAACTTTCCAACATCGAAGAAGGAATCGATTAAAATTCGCAAATATATAGCACCGTGCAAGTGTTTTTCTCATTGAAATACGTCGAAATACCTGCTCCAATTTTATTGAGTTTTCGAACTCAACTAAACCCTTGAACTTAAGGTTTTAAGGAGTATTATTGAGAAATTTGAAAACTCCATTCGCTCACCTCATAAGTCGCTTGGTTAAAGCTTAAGACATCAGAAATTCCCCTGGCACAGTGCTTAGTATGCAATTTCCACATGTTCACATGTTCCACGTGTCCCTTTCGAAACACTGCCGTATTGCATTGGAAGTGCCTATTCAGTGCGTCACTATAGCAAAAACGCCCCATCGCAGGCTTTGGTTCATTCGCTCAAAATGACACTTCTTCGGTTGTCTCTTTCAATTCTGTAAATCGCATTCGCACAAACTTCGCCGTCGATAACCACCTGCGCACTTATTCAAAGTGTTTCTGTTTAACTCCTTTTAAATGCGTGAAATTCAGCGACAGTAGTTTAAGAAGGGCACTACATGTACCCCTAGTCCCAGCATTTTGTCCCTAAGAAACGGTGATTATGAGGGTTTTATGGGTGGGGAATTAGGATAGGTAGTGGAATATACTTTGATGACTGCTGTATGCATTTTTATTTTATTGTATTTGAAAATGTTGTTGATTTATGTCCGTGGATTTTCCTAATCTGTATTATCATTTAACGTATTGCGGAAAAATCCGATTATCAAAATGCAGAATTCTCGAACTTCCTGAAGAAATAGAAATGGTGGTAAGGAGGTCGTCTACTTCTACTTTTCTGCGGTCCAACTGACCGTTAAGTTTACATGAGGAACAACTGACTCCCAACGGCCGCGGGAAACAAATTAAACTACATTTTTCCACTTTCCACTTAAATCTACAAATTTCATTTACTGCCTATCCTATTTTTCCGCCACCCTAGCCCCTGAAAGCACTGTTTCAGTAGGACAAATGCTTGGACTAGAGGTATAGGAGGTGCACTACTTAAAATACTTTTGCCTGAAATTGCTTCGGAACTAGCCACCAAATTCACGCGAAAAAAGAATCCAGAAATCCCTGACAATATGTGTGCCATTGGAATGCAGTATGCTTCATATTTTGGACCGCTATGTGATTGATCAGATGCCCAACGGCCCATTCAAACGCCGGCAACAAAAGGTCTTGGGAGCTGCATGTTTCCGGGCTGAAAGTTGCACAGTCTTCTAACGCAGACCAGGAGGGTTATTGGTAACCGATGGTTAACGGACGCATCGGCCCTTCAGGTGGCAGGTAGCGGAGTTGGCACAGTTTTCCGCTCGGAATTTTCATTAATATGGTGTGGAACATCAGCAGGTTCAGGGCCCAGAATTTTTGGAAGTTTGTCAACGTATTTCCTATGGTTCCTAATTCACCGGCCCATCTACCTTACTTCTCCGCAAGGATAGTAAGGAACTCGTGACAATCTGACCAATAAGAGATGACAGGAAGAATGTTTTTTGTTTTCAATCTTAGAACACTTCATGTAAATTGGACATATAGCAGAGTCCAGTTGACTCCCAGGGAGACGCATACAATCACCAGGAAAATGTATCCTGCCTACGGAAAATAAAATAAAGTCCGACTAGTTGTGCAACGAGGCTTAATGTCCTGATATCTACCCTAGTCATTCTCCCTTCCTACTTTCGCCCACCTAATTCTGCTTTGTATATCTCCCACGCTCCCTGATCTTACTGACCGCATGAGAAAGGTTCAACTCCTACGCTTCAAACCGTTTTTTTCGGTGTAATATTTAGGGCGTTCGTAATTGTTCACGTGGCTTCTCTCAGAAAACTAAATGTTCCTTGGTCGTGTCTTTACTTTGCTGATATTGCTAACAGCAAGAATGCATTCAATAGCAGAAAATCCGAAAAAACGCCACCTATATAATGGGCAGTTTAAGTGGGTTAGGCTGTTAGCTTTACACTCAAGAACATTTTAGTTTCTTTCTTATTTACAGTATTCTAGTTGCTATGACAATTCAGAATGTCATATGAGATAGTTCCGTGAAAAGCATACAGTCATCGATCAAAATGACGACATATGGACAAATTGATTTTAGAAGATAAATTGACGGACATGCGTTTGTTTTCGATAAATTCTCGTCAGGCCTTTACATTTATATATTACATTACATTACATTACATTTATATATT